GCTCCTCTGTAAATTCTATACACCCTCCCCCTTGTTTGATTTTAATGTGCGAAAACCAACAGTCCCTTTGTCAAAACCACCAAACATGTTATGTCACAAGCGGCAAATCAAAAAACTCTGCGCCACCGCTGCAACACACAAACTTTCTTGTCAAACTTTCTTGTCCCAACCCGCGCCCCCCCCCCTCCCCCCGTTTTCTCACGTCAGCTCCCCTAAAAGTCCTTCTGCTTCTGCAGGGACTTTAACTGCCGCTGGTTCACACCTCTCCACACAATGCCCACGTCAGGGGGTCCAGTCCTCTCACCTCAGGATAGAGAGCCTGTTGTATTATCATTAAACATGATGGCGGGGGGTTGAAGCAGCTGTTGAAACACTTTGCACCCAGGAGCCCCAGCCGCACCCACACACACACACACATTCATGGACATTAAGAGCCAGAGGTTAGACCTTGTTTCGTTCTCAAAATTTGAAATTCTATGCAGATTCAAATTTCTAACAGTGGCACTTTCTCGTCGCGCTACTTGGACAACGGCTCTGTGTGCTGCTCCACTCAAAGTCGTATGCGAGTCTCATTCATGACCCGAGGTTAAAACAAACCAGGCCTGCAGGCGTTCAGAGATTTAATCTCGCCAAGTGTGAGTCGGGTCAACGCCAACCAACGGAGACATGACGTCCTGGAGGCTTTCCCAGCCCAGGACTGCAGACGCAACACCGAGGTCCATGAGACTTTTAAAGACTGTGTCACCATCCATACTGACTTCAACTAAAACACACACACACAGGCCAATTATTAACCCCCCTCTAATCCCTCCACCCCCTCCTCCTCCACCACCACCACCAGTCTACTGACAGAGCAGGAAAAGCTAGAGAAGCACTTTTTGCTTTACACAGTGTAGCCAATGCTATGTCTATCCTCACTGACCTTTAACCAATCCCCCCGCCCCCGCTTGATCATCATGGGGGGGGCATTCAACGTTAGACAGCAAAAAATGAAAGCAGCTATTCATCGAGCCAAGAAATTGAGACGACTTGAATCACTGAAAGTTTCGCCAATAAAAAAAAAAAAAACAGTAAACAACTTCTAGCATCAGACAAAGGAGCCTATTGTCTGCGTGCAGCTACAACAACCTGGATGAAGAACAGCCCAGCAGGGCCACATGTACGAGCCCAGTTCCTGCAGCCGTAAACACTTACAGAGTTCAATCTAGAAAAAGCTGCCGTGGACGGAGTTTGAATTGGAGTTTGGTCGTGCACGGAGAGTGACTTTGGTTCGGTCACACAGACGACGCTGCTGTTTCAGTGGTCAGAGGAGACCACAGTCCAATGTCAACAGTGGTTCAACTCTAACCCCGGTTCAGAGCATGAACTCTGAGCAGGAGAGTGACCCACATGGACCAGCTGAGCTCTGGTATGTGCTCCTAATGGTACAACTATTTATGAGCTAACACACATCACTGTCACCTTCTTAAAATATATCTGTAAGCTAGCATGTCCTGGGGTTAGAGCCCAAAAGGTTCTCAGACAGATGTTGAACATTTGTGATCCAACGGCTTTGACCAGTTTCATCATTATGTGTTTGTTAACTACAGTCCAACGGCTTTGACCAGTTTCATCATTCAGTCTTTGTTAACTGCTGAGCTTTGTTGTGTTTTATTTGATCGGGATTTTTAATCCTTTAAAAAAATGAACACTTTGTGAATCAATCTTTTTGTACTTCTATGAACATGTAGTATAACTACAGTACCTAAAACGTCTGCTGACAATATTAAAATGGTTTAAATGTTTTCACAGTTCTCTTTTACGAAGAAGAAATTCTCTGATAGAAACACATTTTTGTTTAAGTGTTTAAGGTGAAATGGAGGATATGAAAAAATTAGATACGTCAAAATATTTGATATCACTTCAAACTCTATAAAATACTTTTCATTACACACTGATATTTCTGATATCTTCACGATGATGAGCACCCACCCACCCACACACACACACACACACACCAGGTCTGTTATTATTTACGGCCCTTGACCCTTTGACTCTTCTATCTTGCTATGATCCACTCCCTTATTCCTGCCTGGCACTGAGGGAAGTCAAAGAACAGCCAGGAACTGTTGGTGATGAGCTGCGTGATGAAGTCCACCCTCAGAAGTTCTCCCCACAGAACTGAGGAGGCAACGAGCGGTGAGTGACACGGACTATAGACGTCAAGAAGTCCAACTTTTCAAAAGATAAAAAATACCATACACACTCACTCACGAGGATGTGGCCCCCCCGTGTGAACATCTGACAAGAGTCATGGTGAGTTCACTGACACTGTCCCGGGGCATTCTCCCATGGTGGGCTGTCTGCTAATGTTCAAACTTAATTTTATTACGGCAGGCCCAAGGGCAGGAGGGGACGTCATATACAAAGTCACTGTCCAGGAGGAGAGCAGGAGAAAGTAAGCCTTTGTTTTTAGTGGACCTGAAATTTATGGACAGGAGACGTCTCTGTCTCCCCTGTCTCTGCGTCGATATCTCCCATCAGTCTCATTTTCACTCGCACAGCACTGCAGTACGCACACTCACTCGCAAAATGTTTTACACACAAGTGGCGATACTTCCACACAGGAGGCCGGAGCCAGGCCCACGGCAGCTCATAAACTCCCCAGGCAACCATCCACTGACCTCGCCCCCGGGATTCCAGCTACTCCCCCACTGCAGCGTCTCCAGACTCTGGCTCATGATGATGTGATGGAAAACGCAAGAGATAACACAAACTGTGACTGATACTTTTTTTTTGGTGTGTGAGCTTCTGAGAGAGTGTGGATGAAGAGTGGCACACGCCTGTGGGTTCCAGATAAAGCTGTGATTCATGGTTTATACGCTTTTTCTACTCAACGTCTGACTTCTGACAACATCTCGTACGCAGAGAAATTACAGGGCACCGAGCTGTAGGAAGCTCCGCTCAGACGCTACTCCTGTTCTAGACACACAGTACACGCCATTGTCTCATCCCCATCTTCTACGCACGTGCAGGAAAGTTCAGATGAAGTCATTAGTGAGATGACGTCTACACCGTCTCGTTCTTAATAGCGTGGGGAGAGATGATGGGATGGCAGCAGGGGTGGTGGTCCACATGAAAGATGGATTAAAAAGCACCACGGAGTGACATCAGCGTGGAAGGAAGTGAAGAGAGGGACGGCGGGGGAGAACAGAGGGTCCAAGACCCTCACACATTAAATCACACTGCTCTGCTGAAGACCCTGCCTCTTAGACAAAGAAATGAAGAGCAGGAGACTCTAATAAGACGCAGTGAGAAGAGGAGGAAAAACCTCACCATGTCTGAGGCCATGCTCTGACCTGATATTAACATTAACATCCTGAGAGATGAAACAAGATGCAGTCTATTTTCGGAAATGTATCAGCATTTCTGTCAACGTGTTGGACTACAGCCAAAAAAGTACCTTGTTAATTAAAGGCGTTATAATTAATCTTGAAATAACCATTTTTTAAATTAAAAAATTACTTAAATGTTCATTTAAATCAAATTAACTCGCCACATGTTTTGTAAAAAACTGGTAAGCATAGTGGCGTGGTTTTCACATGCTGACATCACTTAATACATCCTTAAATCTTCTCCTGGATGGCAGACAGAAATGTGGTACATTACTGCCACCTACTGGGCTGGAGTGTGGGCATCAGTGTTACTGTTGGTCTAAAAATAATGAAACTGAAGTGCCATTAAATTTGTCTTTTCAAACCCATTTTTTTCTGTAATTAACCAATTAAAAGCATCAGTGTTACTGTTGGTCTAAAAATGATGAAACACATTATTTTTTTTTCTGTAATTAACCAGTTAAAGTCCCAGCTCTAATCAATACATGTAATCAGATTACTTACGACAGATGGTAAAACCAGGTCTGAGAGAGAGGTCTGTGTTTGCCATTCACTGAGGTAAAGTGAAGAAGACTGGCAGGAAACTGGAGAGTTGCTGCTGGCGACACACTGGCCACAAAGTCCTCACTCAGATCCCAGCAAACTGGCTGGTCACTCGGTGGTCTGGTGCCCACAAGACCCCGGTCCAGCCAGTGAGTCTGATCCCGTCTGAGTGGAACCCAAACTGCGGCCGTTTGACCTTCTGGTTAATGATTGTTACAACTACAGGTCCACACAGCAGACGGCGGCGCAACTGCAAATCTGTCAGCAACCAAGATCAAGCCATGCCTTCCATTTCCTTCACTTCACACAAAGACAACATGCTCCTCGGACAGACAACATGCCCCACACTATTATTTTCTCCACAGACTACTGGGGTATTAGACCTGACCACAGGCATGTCATGCATGAAATGAAGTCCAAAGAATGCCTCACGCCAGAATCTCTTAAGGAAGAATGTGGAGACTGTGGTAAAATGCTCAGTGTCACTGAGATCTCATCCCCAAAGCTGAGAGGCATCACAATGAGGGCAACCCTGCAGCCCAATGAATGGGGTTCAAAGGAGAGGTCGGAAACCACTGACATTTTCTTCATGGACTGAGAATTTAGAGCTGAATCAATGGAGTTTTGTACTTTATTAAATGGGGGTCACTCTTTTATACTGACATCACACGGACGTCCCTGTGTTGCATTCCTTACGTAAATGACATAGAATATATAACATTGTAGCTGTGCGTAAAAAACGCACCAAACGCCCAAAATAAACGCAAATACGACGCGTATTGTCCATGTCGGACGACAGAACCGTGAAACAATGAAACAAGCTCTGCTGCTTCTACTGATTCTTCAACTGGAAACTTGTTGCTCTGCGACTTTAACAGAGGGAATTTGTAAATGTTTTCAACTTTGGCAAAGACCTCCATCACAGACCAACGGAAACTTTGCACGCTGGCCGAATCATATTCAGAAACAACTGGCCCCGTGAACACCGTCAGAAACAAAAGGCAAATGTTTTTGAATCTATTTGCAGTTTGTTGATGAACACAGCGAATGTTTAAACCTTTACACCCAGTGATGGAAACTCACCTGGCTGAATCTGCCAGATAAAAGTCAACCGCATATCCGAAGTAGCTTCCCTGAGGTCCGTCGTAAACCGTTGGATTCTCCACGTCCAGGTTGAACGCCTGGCAGACAGGCGGAGAGAAAGTTAGTGATAAACCGATGACACAAAGAACGGAGCGGGAGAGAAGCGCAACCATCCTCGGCGCCTTTGCGCAAAAACGTCCCGGTCTCATATTCTTTGGCTAATCCCACAGTGGCTGCTCTGGATGAGGTCGATTTCCCCCGGTTCTGTGCTGATCCAAGTTTGACAAGAGCGTTGGAGTCTGGCTAAAACCGCATCCCTGTAACTCTGACCATGAATGCTCCGTCAGCTTCTCCTCTCCGCGGCCTCCTTCTGCCTCCTGCTCTTTCCCGCGCACGCCTTTTCCGCGCACCTAACCGTGATACATGGAGCAGGGAGTTCCCAGAGCCGTGACAAAGTTTAGGAGAGGAGGAGCCACGCTGTGTGATTCCCTACCAGAGGGATCTTCTCATGATCTACTGACCCACAGCTTCCTTTAACATCACATCACTTCACATCCATTTGTCGGAGTCAGATTATTAATCCCTGGAGAGGAGGCTTTGGTGTTAGGGTTAAGAGTTAGTGTAAGTAGTGCGTAGAATATATATACATATATATATATATATTTAAAAATATCACAAAAACAATATGTAATATAAACATGTACTGAACAGTTCCAAGTGTTAAATGTTACGTTTATAGCAGCTTTTTAAATGTGCTGCACGAAAATATTTTGTAAAATTGGATAATATTTTCCAGTATTGAACAGGAAGTTAGAATATTTATATAAAATATTGCACTGTAAAATCGGAAAAATTGGAAAATATTGCTGAGTGAATCAGATATATATGACATACATATATAATATATACATAGTCAATATATTGTCTAAAGTATTGCACCATACTTTCTTTCCAAGACACTGTACAAACTATTGTATAGTTATCTAGAATATGGTGAAATATACTCCAAAATACTGCACAGTAAATCAGGCTTTTTCATATTGAGTGAAATCACAATACTGCAAAATATCTTCCAGAGTATTCCACTAAATCTAAATACTCTCCTCACACCAGTCCACCTCTCGACTGACCCGCACAACAATCTTTGTTGTTAAATTCCCAGAACGAGGCCTTTCATCTATTATCGTAGTTTTGTGCTCGGCCACAGCCATCACTCTGGGAACTCTGTGACTGAACTGTGACTGAAATGTGACTTCTAAGCCTTTGTTATCATTAACGTTCACACTATTAACCACCAGAACAATGGCCACATTATCACACTTCTGGTCTTATCTCACAGTTATCTCACACGTTTCAGTTTGATGTCAGAAGAGGTCTCTGTAGGTGATGGAAAGTTCAATGAATCTTCAAACGTCCAGCCAGTGTTAGGTGGGCGGCCGTCGAGGCACGTCTGTCCACAGCGTGTTAGAACCATTGATGCTTGAACCTCTGGTACTTTTCACTGATAGTTCTGGAATTTAAACTGTTACTCAAACACATCTGCTGCTGCCCAGTAACTGGCACAATATCATTTTTATCTCCATTTTGATCACACAGCTTTAGTACAGCGCTTCGTATCAAATGATTTTTGTTGTCAAAAAGTGCCAAGAAACAAATGACCTCCTCCACCGACTAACTATAACGCAAAATTTCACTTCACTAATCCCAGGAATCATAACAGCGACTACTGCTCAAATAAACATCGCAAACGTACAACAACAGAGCCGTGGCCTATTTGGAAAACTCTGCGCTAATTACACGTTTATCGCACTACTGCGAAGCTCAATGTGCGATCCATATGTACATCTGTGTAATTACAGTGTAGATTTGATTTGGTCATGTGATGTGTTCCTTGGGGGTGTGTGGGAAGATTGTATATTCCCGCCTGTGAGTCACACGAGAAAGTGGTAAATGAGACCTTTAATAAACTCTTCCAGACGGGACAGAATTAGTGACTGTTGGTTCAGTGATTCACTTCCAGCCTCCCAGATTGAACACACGGCCCAAATTTAGCCACAGTGCAGTAGCAACATGAGCGCACTGTCAAGTGCAGCTCATATTTATAACTGGTCCAAAGAGCCCTGACAAACGGAGTGAGGGTTTCACAGACCGATGGGAGAGATCCGGTGGGTCCGGGGGGAGAGGGGGGGGGCAGCTGACAGCTGTTGGGGGTGGCCTAATTCTGAAAGGGTCCTGTGCTGTTGTGTTGTGAGGACGTTTAGATAAATGATAGACAGGGATCAAAGTCTGGTGGAGACACTGACATGTTGTGTTGTGAGGACGTTTAGATAAAAGTCTGGTGGAGACACTGACATTCTGAATCAGAATGATGAAGTTTGTAGACTTTCCCACTGATGTCATGAATTGGGCTTTGAGTGTAAACATCCCATGATATTCCTAACAGAGAAGTTTGTTTATCAAAGCAACTGATTGAATAAAAGACAGATATTATACCTGATTCTGGGTGGTTTGAGAATCTGAATACACAGTGGCCATGGGAGGTTATTTAGTCACATGGGCCAGTTTAGCCCCCCCGCTGACTGTCCCGCACCTGAAATAAAAATACATTCATGTGTTACAAATGAAGCAATACTGTAAACATTGATATAAATCATATCAAAATCAAATATATTAATGTCACTATTGGACGGTCAAGTATCACTAAGCTATTAACAAATGTAAATTCAAAACACAATTTATTAAAAAATTGTTTCCAATTGACCAAAAATTTTAATGACAACCCTGCAGTACCACAATGGACCATTAGAGTAAAATGGAGTGAAGTGAGGGTGGTCACCACCACAAATGATCAGGCTCCAGGAGAAACTGTTCTGAGAGGCTGTGAGCTTGTTCAAGTGTGTCACTTCAAGCATTTTTTGTGTGAGAGGCCAGAAACGGCTCTGCTGGCCAACTGAACAGTATTTTCCATTTCATTCCCAACATGATTTCCATTGAGAAGAGAGGGTGTGGGTATTTTCCACCTCCACTTTAATATCATCAACTCGGCCACTGAGGCAGCAGATCTGAAGTGCAGCAAAGCACATGAAGAACATTGAACAGACCTCCATACAGCTGGCTGTGCGTTTTAAATATAGACCCATGACACATCGGCATGTCTGCCAGGCAGACATATATGTGTGTAAATACATGTGTGTGTATATAAATATGTGTGTGTGTGTGTAGGACAGGCACAAGTGAGACAGAATATTATTAGTAGCTGAAGGGCAACATCAATTTCGTACAGCAGTGCTAAGTTATGTCGCTGTGAACCAATGCTGTTGTGCAACAGTGAAGTCATGCAGTGTTTGTTTGTTACTGGATGTTACATGGTAATACAAAGGGAACTGTGTAGACAGAAGGTTGGATTTTTCTCTTTTTTTTCTGTGGAATATTCCTAACTTTCACTTTTATTCTTGCTAAGTACTATTGGTGGTTATTACTGCTAGTGTTTCTTAAAGCTGTTGCGGTGGGAGATTAATACAAATTGCAACAACCATACCCTGAGTTTGATAAGTACCCTTATATATGATGTACTGTAAGTGTGGAAACACACACATATGTGTTAAGCTAGCCTTCCTGCTAGCAGAACGTGCATGTTTTTTGTAGACTCAAGTAAAGATTTTTACAATGGGAGTTGGGGGCTTGGTGGCAGATGAGAGTCCTACAACTCCACCACCACAGTCCAGCACAGCTAAGAACAGGACACTTCAAATGTTGCAAATTGTTGATTGTTAATAGAGTTGTTAAGTTGCATCAATTTAAAAGCTGCCGGTTTAATGAAGTACTTAAATTTAAATGTGAAACCTGACAAACGAGGAGGCAAATTGGGATACACAACAGCTGTATTTATTAAATTTAAATGTGAAACCTGACAAACTAGGATTTGTCTGTATTTCGTAACTCACCAGATAATAACAATCAATGTACCCTGCATACCACTGGAGGGGCCACATGTGCCACCAGAGGTATGCATAGCAAAGATTGAGTCTCCTTGAGTCTTAGATCAACTGTAACAGCACTGATTAGGAACAGTGTTCATCTACACTCAATAACACATGTTGGACAAAGTCGGTTTCTCTTTGCTTTGTTCCCCCTACTGTCAGACACAGACCGACAGGTTCAACCTCACACAACTAAACAATAAATGTCTAATAACAGGGGAACACACATACAGATAACACTTGAGGTGATTATTAAACACACAAATATACAGGGGAACACACATACAGATAACACTCAAGGTGATTATTAAACACACAATAGAGAGTGTTGCAGCTCCAAAAACCAGTGGGGTACTTTGTGTAGACTCAACAGTGGTATTGGAAACTCTGGGTTGGAGTGGGGTGGGACACAGCAACGATGCCTGCCGTCAGGCAACTGTTGGCCTTTTAAGTTGCAAAATAAACACAATTTTACCACTCTGGGAACAGACAGCACACAAAGAATACAGCAGGCAACTCAATGGTTTGCCAGTCACAACGATCAGCAGCTGTTTGCTATTTGTCTGTTTGTTGGCTGGTTCCTTTTCGCATGGACCGATTACATGATTAATTAAACCTGACAACAAAAAAAAGCTGGCCGACCACGGACTAATGGTGTCTTGTTGAATAATGAGTTCCCAGACCTTTCACTTAAAAATGCTTTTAATGTGATCCTTAAGACTAAAACTTCCTCAGGATCAAACTTCCTTCTTCGTCCTTCCTTCCTACATCTACATCTCTCTTTAACTGTTGAAACGACATGATACACATCTCAACAGCAGGAAATTCCACCGGCGTAAAAGCCAGCCAGGCTTCCTGCTTTACCAGGCTGGTACTCTTTGTCTGTCACACACAAACACAGACTGTGTGTCAATGTTCTCTTAAATTCCTGTTTTCTACAACATTCCCCAATAACAAGAGGGAAGAGCGCTGATGTGGCCGATTGTTCCACCCGGTCCGAGAGGTTGCGCGGAGGATGACAGATTTGTCGCGTAGAAGTGGAAGTCCTGAGCTGGCTCTTGTTGCTGAGTGGACTGTTCATTGTTTTCAACACAAGCTCTTAGCAACTAAAGTGCCTGAGTGAATCACAAGTTTTGTTTGCAAATGTGAAAAATCATCGCAACGGCTCTTTACAAGGCAAAGATCACACACCCTTTTGCAACATAGCTTCCTCTTGTGAGTTTTCACTGTCAGTTCAGACAAATCGGGGCAGTGTGTGTGTGTGTGTGTGTGTGTGTGTGTGTGTGGGGAGAAAGATGATCCAAACTGTGTCCCTTGTTTAGTTGCCTTGTTAACATGGCCACAAAACAGCTCCAAATAAGCACTTGACTTTTTACATCTGCTCATCAGTGGGATTTAACAGAGCAGCATGGGAGCTGCTGGAGGGGAAACGACCCCACTACCAGCTCCATTAACCCCATACCACAGTTCACTCACAGAACAGGCGTCCCCAAACAGTCACCCTGACCTGTCAGCAACAAGAACCAGCACTGGAGGTGCTGGGTTTTTATACTGCATCGATGTATTTGAGGACTTAGATCCACAGGTCAAAGTATTTGAAATTTTAATTGAACTAATCATGTAACTGAGTAACTGAAGATTAATTTTTGATTAATTTTGATTGAGATTAATCATGATCAATTCAGAAAAATGTACAAAAAAATGTATTTTCCTTATTTTGTCAGAACAGACAAATTCCATTTTAGATTTTAGATCTACCAACTCTTTTTTCTCAAGAAACTGTTGGAGACACCTGAGAGACATGTTTAATGTTCCAGTTAATAAGATCACTGTCTGGTTTTATAGAATTTGTCTTTGAACTTTTTGACTCACTCTTAGATTTACTGCAGTGATGCTCTGCAGTGACACTGCCACCTGTGTTGATGGTTTTTTCCACTTTCTTTCATGTCCAGGATCCAGGATGCCCCTGGAAACATTAGAGGAGACCAAACGTTAGTAGACTACAATATACTATTACTGTTGGAATTGTGTATATATTATTATAATTTACATTTGCTGTATTCAAAGACTCTGTAATCCTCTACAGCTCAACTTCTGTATTTCTTACAAAGCTGCACCTGAGAAAAATGCCTTATATCAGAATCAGAATCTCTTTATTTATTCTTTATATGGTTTGATGTTTGTTTGAACTTGTTTTGAACTAAGTTCTGCTTAGCAGAACTACAAGTCATAAGTTTCCAGTTTTTCTCTCACTTTGCGATACCAGACCACTAAGTCACAAGTTTGTGCAAAGGTGTGAAAAACAGGAGTTTTTTACACCTTTGCACAAACTTGTGACTTCTAAGAATGATGATTTGACTTTAAAGAATAGGGAAGTGTGTAAATGACTGTGCTTTGAAGTAAATAAAAAGAGAGGGCTCGGCAGAATGTGCTCAGAGCGAGTTGGAGATTGTAACTGAGTACATCTCTGACCGTTCTCCTCGCGAGTATCTAACTTATTTACCTTTAGGTGTCTTTAGGTTGTTTGAACCTGACAATTACAACTGTAAAGCTTTTCAATTTGGATAACTAATCACAGACCTGTGCGTATAAAACTGTTAATAGCACCCTCTGCAGAGGAGATGGCGAAACTACATTTTCTGTTGATGCAAACACCGTTTTTCACATTTTTTCTTTTAGTTATAGACATTTATTATTATTACAGTTGGTTGTAAAAGAATTCCTACATTTTGTTAAAAGTTACGATGGGGGACGATGGACGACATTGTTGACACAGACGGTCATCTCATTTTATATTCAAGCACTACATTTATGGTGTCACATTTAATTCTGATGCCTTATTTGTCTCTTTAAAGTTACAGTGTGGGCCACAACGCCCCCTCTCCCCCCCATTTGTAATACCATAAAGGGCGGGCAGGCTGCAGGGCCCCCACTGGGCCTACAAAGAAG